TTATTTGTTTAATTTGTGCTTTTTCGATTTTGTTTTGTTTAATTTGAGCTTTTATTTGTTTTGTTTTGCTTAATTGGATCTTTTGGGATTTGTTTGATTTAATTTGACTTTTTATTTATCTTGTTTTGTTTAATTTGATGAAGTCTTTATTCCTTATTCAGCTTTAAATGTTTTGTTCTGTTTAATTATTTCTTTTTAAACTTTTTATTTTCTTCATTATTTCTTCTTCAACTTTTTATTTTATTGAATTGTTTGCTTTAAACTTTTTATTTTATTTAATTGTCTCATTTTCAATGTCTTTATCTCACTTCAATTGTCTTTTATTAAAACATTCAGTTTAATTTAATTAATCCATTTAAACCACTTAAAATATCTTTTTTAAAATTATATTTTCTCAAAATATCTTTTTTTAAATATCTTTTTTAAATATTCTTTTTTGAATTTTTTCTAATTTGACGAATTTAAATCCTAAACTGCTGAAACTTGGACCTAAAAGATGTTTGAACAAATGCATTTAATTATTTATTTATTTATTTATTTATTTATTTATTTATTTATTTATTTATTTATTTATTTATTTTCAGGACAAAATACTCGTGGGTAACTCATCTTTCCTTTTTGGGGACAAGTGCCGCCACCATAATTGTGCGGGGCATTTTAAACCCCCGCTTCATAGCGCCTTCTTTCGTGTAAGTTTAATTTAATTAATTTATTTAATTTAATTAATTTAATTAAATAATTTAATTAATTTAATTAATATAATTTATTTAATTTATTTAATTTATTTAATTGATTTAACTTGTTTATAAGGCAGTTTAGTGGATTAGATTCAATTATTTAATTTATTTTAATTTATTTTTTGAGTTTTTGGTTTTTGGCTTGGTAGGTGCAGAATGCACAAAGGGCTGCAGAAGTTGTTTTTTTTTGTTTTTTTTTCTTTTTAATTCTTTTTAATTCTTTTTAATTCTTTTTCCTTTTGATTCTTTTTAATATTCCTTTCAATTTCCTTTTATCTCTTCTTATTTCTTTTAACTTCGCTTTAATTTCTTTTTCTTTTTATTTCTTTTCATTGTTTTAGTTCCTTTAGATTTTTTATTTGCGTTTGCTTGACTTACTTCCGCGGCCTATTTGATTTGCCAGTCGTATTTAATTGTTTTATTTTATTCCTTTTATTAATTTATTTTATTCTATTTTATTTTAATTTAATTTAATTTAATTTAAATTAATTTAATTTATTTGTTTTATTTAATTTCTTCATTTTTCTAAAATTGGATTACTTTTAATTCATTCTTTGCTTTGTCAATTCGTCCCTTCCCAACCACCACAATCCATCTGTCCATTTGTTTATTCCAACTTAATTAATTAATCATTTATTTATTTATTTATTTATTTATTTATTTATTTATTTATTTATTTATTTGTTTATTATTTATTTATTTATGTCTTTATTTATTTATTTATTTATTTATTTATTTATTTATTTTTATTTTAGGGTAATTAGAGTGGTGACATATTTCGTCTTGTCTCTTTTTCTCTTCTTGGGCCGCTACGCAGCGGAAATCCATTTGAGGCAAACTTTCCTTGGCTGGCTGGTAAACCCTAAACCCTAAACCCTAAACCCTAAACCCTAATCTCTGGGGGTAGTAAACCCTCAGGCCTGTCTCGGGGGGTTGGGATGGGTAAAGGCACTAGTTGCAAGTAAAGAGCCTTTTTTGCAAACCCTAAACCCTAAACCCTAAACCCTAGTTGTGGGTGTATTAAGCCTTCGTTGCAAACCCTAGACCCTTCTCAAAACCCCACACTCTTTTAGTTACCGCCCAGCTAGCTACCACCCAAATAGCTAGCTAGCTAGCCACCCAGCTAGCTAGCTACCACCCCACCAGCTAGCTAGCTCGCTAGCTACTGCCTAGCTAGCTAGCCACCACCCAGCTAGCTAGCTGGTACGCAGCTAGCTAGCTAGCTCGCTGGCACCCAGCTAGGTAGCTGCCACCCAGCTAGCTAGCTGCCACCCAGCCAGCTAGGAAGCTAGCACCCAGCTAGCTAGCATGCTAGCACCCAGCTCGCTAGCTAGCTAGTTAACTAGCTAGCTAGCTAGCCAGCAAGTTGTCTGGGGCTGTGGGGCTGTTTACTAGCTAGTTAGCCAGCTGTCTGGGGCTGTTTGCTAGCTAGCTAGCTAGCACGGAGCCATCTAGCTAGCTAGCTAGCTAGCTAGCTAGCTAGCTAGATAGTTGTCTGGGGCTGTGGGGCTGTTAGCTAGCTAGCTAGCTAGCTAGCTAGCTAGCTAGCTAGCACCCAGCTAGCTAGCTAGCTAGCTAGCCAGCATGGAGCCAGCTAGCTAGCTAGCAGCTAGCTAGCTAGCTAGCTGGTGGGGCTGCTTGCAGGACACGCGGCGGCGGGTGGACCGGCTGGAGTCGGACTTGAAGCGGCAGCGGACGCGGGGCGGAGCAGCAACTTCGGTGGAGCATTTGCTGCACTTGCTGCGGCAGGTGCAGGAGCTGAACGAAGCTGCTGTTGCTGCTGCTGCTGCTGCTGCTGCTGCTGGGGAGCTGCGGGGGCAGCTGCAGGAAGCGCGGCTGCTGCTGCAGCAGTGCCTCTCCATTCTCTGCACTAACACCAATCTTTATGCCGTCAAGTTTGGGCCAATTGAGAGTCAGCACTTGGACATTTTGCAAGCTTTGATCAACGACAAAAACGCGCTTCCCAAGGACTGGCTGCGGGCCCGCAACGCGCCGCTGCAGCAGCAGCAGCAGCAGCAGCAGCAGCAGCAGCAGCAGCGTGCGCCGCTGGGTGCGGCGGCGGAGCCTGCGCAGCAGCAGCAGCTGCTGCAGCAGACCGACACCCGCAGCAGCAACGTCAGCAGCGGCGGCAGCAGCAGCCTCAACCACAGCGGCAGCAGCAGCAACCACGCGACCAACCCCGAGGCCCTGCCCTCCCCCCAGCAGCAGCAGCAGCAGCAGCAGCAGCAGCAGCAGCAGCACGTTGCAGCAGCAGCAGACGAGTGGGGCGGAGGGCCCCCCGTCTCCGCCTTCGGCCGCCGAGCAGCGGACAGCATCAGCAAGCAGCAGCAGCAGCAGCAGCAGCAGCAGCAGCAGCAGCAGCAGGGGCCTCCTCCGCCGCTGCTGCCGCCCTCCCCGCCCTCCCCCCTGCAGCAGCCGCAGCAGCAGCAGCAGCAGCAGCAGCAGCAGCAGCTGCTGCTGATGCTGCCGCGCAGCCGCAGAGGCTCGCAGGGGGGAGAAGACAGTGGGGGACATCCAAACCCTAATTTAGAGGAAAGCGGAGACAAGTGCAGCAACAGGAGTTCTGTGCTGTCGGACATGCTGCAGCAGCTGCCGCGGCGCGTCAGCAGAGCAGCAGCAGCAGCAGCAGCAGCAGCAACAGCAGCAACAGCAGCACACGACCGACACGACCGAAACAGCACCTACAACGACGACAAACTCCTCAAAGTCGCCTACCTCTTCTCCCCTGGAACCGCCGTGAGGGTTTAGGGTTTACGAGGGTTTAGGGTTTACGAGGGTTTAGGGTTTACGAGGGTTTAGGGTTTACGAGGGTTTAGGGTTTACGCGGGTTTAGCACGAGGGTTTGGCACGAGGGTTTAACACGAGGGTTTATTGTGAGGGTTTATTCCGAGGGTTTATTTTGAGGGTTTAATCCGAGGGTTTTATGCGGGGGTTTAAAACGAGGGTTTGTGAGGGTTTAGGGTTTCCTGCGAGGGTTTACGAGGGTTTAGGGTTTTGCAAGCTGGTTGAATCACAAGTTCCCCCCGTTCGCTCGTGAAGCGCCGGCTCTCGGGCGAGCCCCCTAGGGTTTAGGGTTTAGGGTTTAGGGTTTAGGGTTTAGGGTTTGCGCAGGGCTCTTCGGGGCTGCTGGCGTCTTTGGGAGAGTGGCGGTTTGACGTGCTGCAGTACGGGGGAGACAGCAGCAACCCTCTTTGCGAATTAGGGTTTATTCTTTTGTCTCCTTTTTGCTTCGACACTCCCGGAGACCAAACCCTAATTCGTTTTCTCAAAACCATCGACAAGTACTACCTCCCCGTGCCCTACCACAACGCGCTCCACGGGCTCATGGTGAGGGTTTAGGGTTTAGGGTTTAGGGTTTGGGGTTTGGGGTTTGGGGTTTGGGGTTTGGGGTTTGGGGTTTGGGGTTTGCGGGGTTTCGGGTTTGGGGTTTTGGTGGAGTTCTGGCTCAGGGGGTTGTTGACGGTCGAAACTAGGGTTTATGGGTGGGGGCTTGTAGGGTCTAGGGTTTAGGGTTTAGGGTTTAGGGTTTAGGGTTTTGCAGGGGGTGGGGTTAAGTCGTAGGGGACTTGGTTGACGGCTGAACTCGGGTTTAGGGGTGGGGAGCTTGCAGAGGGTTTAGGGTTTAGGGTTTAGGGTTTGGGGTTTAGGGTTTAGGGTTTAGGGTTTAGGGTTTAGGGTTTGGGGCTTCAGGTGGCACAGAAGATATACGCGCTTTTGAATTTCTTTTCTTTGATTCGAAGCAGACAGCCGAGAGACATTGCCTTGATCCTTGTGGCGGGTAAATAAATAAAATAAATAAAATAAATAAAGTAAAATAAATTAATTTAAATAAATAAATAAATTAATTAATTAGTTAAATGATTTATTATTTGCGGAGGGTATTGGGAGGGAGAAGAAAGGAATTCGGCACTTCCAGTCAGTGGCTAGGAACTGCCACGCAGCAGCAGCAGCAGCAGCAGCAGCAGCAGCAACAGCAGCAGCAGCAGCAGCAGCAGCAGAAGCAGCAGCAGAAGCAGTTCCTGCTGCTATCGTTGTCACCTCTGGTGCTGCTCTGCGTGTGTGTGTGTGTGTGTGTGCTTTTGCTGCTTTTTCTCTGCTGCTGCTGCTGCTGCTGCTGCTGCTGTTGCTGCTGCTGCTGCCCTTCTGCTGCTGCTCTGCTGCTGCTGCTGCTCCTCTCCTCGCCGCCCTGCTGCTGCTGCCCCTCCCCCCGCTGCTGCCTTCACCCCTGCTGCTGCTGCTGCCCTCCTCCGCCCCTCCCCCGCC